TAATGTCTCAACCTTTGCAAGTTCAAAAACTCAGCTGTTGTCCTAAATGTCTTTTATGTAACTAGAAAACAGAAAACCAAATATCCAATTATTGTCTTTTTTTTTTTTTTTTTTCTTTTAAGAGAAGGAGAGGCAGAGGAAGAGGGAGTGAGAAAAATCTTAAGCAGGCTCCCAGTGCGGAGCCCAACTTGGGGCTTGATCCCAGGACTGTGAGATCATGACATGAGTCACAATCAAGAGTCAGATGCTTAACTGACTGAGCCACCCAGGTGTCCCCAATTATTGTCTTTTAAATGATTCCCCCAGTCCCCATCCCCAGATGAAGTATCCTGCCACCCAGCAAGCCACTTCTCCTCTCCCTTAACGTGGCCCCTTTAGTGGTAAGCCCTTGCCTCATGTGACCCAGCCCATGCGACTCACACTCCATCATCTCATTCTTCAGGGATGCTTTTAGGAGATGTTTTTGACCTTCGTGCTTTTTTCTTCTACATCTTCACATCCCTCTTTTCTCTAAAGTTAAAATGTACATAGGTGAGTGCAGGGTGGAAATACATACCCCAAGGCTCTCCAAAGGCATCCACTGTATCTTTTGCACCTCATCTGAGGCAGGGGTCAGAGGACTTACAAACAAGTTCTTACCTGGTTGGGACTGTCAGATGAACATAGTTTTAAGATAGAGCGAAAACACACTTTCTACTTGGCAAAATGATATTTTTGTATTTTAGACTCATTTGGAAGTCAGTTTTAGATATTTGCCCTTTTAAGAACACATTATCTTAGCTATTAAATGAAAAAAAAAAAAAAAGACTGGTACTCAGTCCCTACTGTAATCAGAATTACCTCCAACAGTGGCAAAATGGAAAACAAAGCACACCCTCCAACTCACTTAAAGTATATTAATAGCTCAGTGGTAGCATCTTGGATTTAAAGCAATGGCATCCATCTTCCAGAAGACAAGTGACTGGAAAAAAAGAGACTTTATAGACTTTCTCTCTGAAGAAGTTGGTCAAGGGTCAAGAATGACCAAATACTGTGCAATAAGACATAACTAATTTATGTTATCAAAGCTATAAATGTATATCACTTTTCTTATCTAAAATTTCTAAAGTGCTTATACACATCTTGTCTGACTTCTTTCTCATTTTGATTTACGACTGGGGTTTCAAAGCCTGGAATTTAAAGGACTTGGCTAAAACCATTATTGAACTTCTGAAATTCAACTCGGAACAAACACCCCCAAATGAAAACCTCTTCTGTACGAAGAGCTTAAGCAAAACAAGTGAGAATTTCCATGGAAACAGCCTGGAACTCTTGAAGGAGAAGAGAGGACAAAAGTAAGCATGAAAATGCATTTATTTATTTTTTGGTTCGTCTTCACCTCTGCCCCTCCAAACCTCAGGCTGTCATCTTAATGAACGCTTTCAAGCCTCAGAGGGAATTAAGAAGAACAATATTTGACAGGAGTGAGGAAGGAGCTAAATATAACTCCCCTGTGAGAGAAATGTATTCCAGAACCTTCTCTTCTCCCCTTCCTTCCCTATCTGGGCCATCTTGCCATCTTTCAGTGCTATTTTTGCACCGTTCCTCTCGCACAACAATTTTAGCTGTTACTTGGTGGGGACCGCATAAAGATCACATCATGAGATACGATTATGTCCTCCTTTGGAAGGGTCATTCAATACAAGACGACGGATCAATTTCCAAATTAATATTGCATATATTCCCTCAGTATAATTTCCATTTGCCTAATACTTAAGCATTTTCAGAATGCTCTCATGTGATTAATTCATTTAATCAACAATGTGAGAGGTAGATAGAGCCACTGTGTTGGACACGATCAACTCCCATCTTACCAGGATAAAGTGCTTCCAGGTCACCCTGCTGGTAGGTACAGGAACCAGGACTCAGCTGGCTTCTTTGCTTCTCGGACCCTCTACATATCCAACGGGCCTGCCTGACCACTGTGTATATTAGGCCATGGCTACCCTCCCTTCTTAATGAGATAAGAACTTTTAGTTATAGAAATATATAGCATAGTATTAGAAAGTAAAAATCTCACCCTCTTTGCAATTGCTAATATTGATATTAGTACAGATCAGAAATACCCCCAAGAAAGGTGCAGCCAAGGGCAGGAGGACTTTCGGCTTTGACAAGGTTTTCCCAGAACTGTCTGACCTATTCTTTGCTGATAAATCAAATAATGTTTCATTCTAGAATTCAGCAATCAATATGTGGCCTATTGAGGACAAAAGTGACCTTTCGTAAATCTGAAAAATTAAATGTAGAACATGTCTTTTGGAGTAGAATAATTTGATGCATCGACTGAATTAAGTAGCTTAGAAATTATCTTGCTGATCCAAGATAATACCTTGAAGGTGCATAATATTCCTGCCTGGGAATAAGTTGGTCTCTAGTTTTCTTTGGAAAATTAGAGGCAATTAACATTTGAGATTGTGATGGCTCTAAATAGGAAATTGGTGATAGTAAAGCAGAAAGCATGATAGAGTCTGTTATCACAACTTTCTGCTGCTCATAATTTTCGCAAAGGAATGGAGTTCAATAAAAGACATTATGTCACAGGTTTGGTAAATCCTAAGACCAAGGGACCAACCAACAATCCATTCCATAATTAACATAACATACACACTTTTAAGACAATCAATATGCCAGTCAAATGAATTTTGCCATCAAAATGAATTTGATGTTCTAATACACACATTATCAGAGACTGCCACGTCTATGTGCACAAAAATTGAAAAATGAAAACATTTCAAAAGGTGACTTCCTTTTCGGTTAGCTTTTACTGTAGGGTATTACAACAACTACTACCAGTGATCATTTATCAAGAGCTTACTGTGTGAGACCAGTATTATTGTCCCAATATTATAGAAATCAATGAAAACCTCACCCCAAAAGTGGATTACAAAAAGTAACCTACTCCATTCATATTGCTGGAAAGCGGTAGACTCTAATACCAAATCTCAGTTGACTCAACTCCAGCTTTGGATGGACTGGCCCCCTCTGCACACACTCTGTTGAGTGACCTTTAGTTAAGCAATTTTCAGTGACATGAATAGCCCTTTAGGGTTCACTGTGGGGGGAGGACCTAGATCATTTGCTGAATATAAGAAAGATGGTGGGTTAATAAAAATCTACTTAAAAGGTATAAAAACGGGGCATCTGGGAAGCTCTCTGCTCACCGAAAATGTTACATGTAATTAATGTGAGTTAGAAGGAGAAGTTGTCTTACCTTTATGACAAAATTAGAAACAATCGATGCCACAGAAGTTTTTAAAAATTATATTTAATACAAGTGAATAGATTAGAAGATCTGAAATGTTATAAAGCAATATACACAATGAATAAATAATCTGCACAGGAGAGTCATGTCTACATTACATAACACTGTCTAGTATGGGAATACTTAAAGTAAATCCAGTGATAATGGAGAAAGTCCATAAAAATGCTAACCTGTCTTCCCTTGTATGAAATTGTTCAAGTATAAAAATCCAATACAGTGTAAAATAGTATTCAATTTAGTTTAAGAATAAAAATTGCAAATATTGCAGTTTTGGAAGAAAAAAGTAAAGCAGCATTTTAGAACTACATAAACTACGTAAGAATAGTGTTAAACTAATGAAGTACCAATAAATGAGATCTACACGAGCAAAACTTAGAGAAGGAAGCATGAAGCTAGCAATATCTCTTTTAAAAAAAAAAACCTAAAAACTAAAATAAATTAAAATGTGTTAATGTAAGAGGATTCTCTTATACAGTGCACATATGAATTTAAATAAATCCAAGTCAACATCTTTCATTGGATAGGTTAATATTTAATATGCTACATCTAGACCTACTAAATAATTTATGCCATGAGATGAATACATAATTTTACAGTGTCACATCTAAAGTTCCTTTCTTTAGAGTGCAGCATAGTAAAACTTAAAAATAAATATCTTAAATAGCATTACTATTAAGGCACAGTATAAACCACATTATCGTTAACCTTTGAAGAATTGTAATCTCAGTCACCTTGTTGTCTCGTGTACTGTGTTCACTAATAAATAGTTTTAAATATGACTCTGAAATAGATACTAAAAAGTGTAAAATTATTTTAAAAGGGGGGGGGAGAAAGAAACGTCCTTAAGACAGTTCTTAAGGGTTTAGAGTCTACAAACTTTGCCTGCCTTTAATTGTAAGCCACGAGTCAACACAATAAATAGAAAGAGAAGGCTGTTGTAGTAAAAGCCTGATCCTATTTCAGAATCAGAACTGCTGAGACCAGCAGATACAAGTTTCCCAAAATTGAAACAGGATGGGGAGAGGGATTAGAATGTGACAAGCTCATCAAACAAGCACAAGTGATGTGTTCTTTCCAGAACTGTGTGTGTTATTGATTGTCTGTACAGCTGCTGCACCCATTAATTCCACATCACTTGCCCCACAGTCCCGCTCATCCACAGGAGAGATGAGAAAATCGCTTTGGTGCCTGTCCACCATTTTACCCACTGCCACGCTCCCAGGTTGATTGTTCGATGCCCATGTTTTGAGAGAGTAAGAACGTGATCTTCTTACCTGAAAAAGTTCTAGAGGCCATAGTGACTGCTAAAAATGACAATCAGTGCTTTCACCATTTTGTGTGTGTGTGTGTGTGTGTGTGTTTTGAAATCTGCTTTTAAAGGTAATTCAAGCTACATATTGCTCACTCTGTATTCCCTGGTTCGACTAGATTCAAATAGCATCTCCTAACTTGTAAAAGGCAGTTTGCTTCCCTGATACTATAAAAAGAGCAAAAATAAAAATCCCGTTATAAAAGTGAAGTTCCACTGTTTACTCCCACTTTCCTTGACTCAGGCTCTCTTTGGGATCGATTTCCAAGACTGCGCCCACTCCCCTCTCTCTCTCTCATCTACGACACTACTGGAGTATAAAAAAAAAAAAATAAGAATTCTGCTTCTTTTTTTTTTTTTTTTGCTGTTTTTTGTTTTTTTCCCCTCCGGAAAGCTGTTAAGTCGATGTTAACTCGCCTTACCTACTACACGTCGGGCAATGGGGGAGGGGGGGGGAAACGAGTCGACTCTGGTCACGTGGCCGCTCTACTGCATGCGGTCGGTCTGCAGCTGCTGCGGCTGGTACTGGCCGAAGGCGGCGGCCGCGGCGGCGGCGGCGGCGGCCGCGGCGGCCGTCCCAGGGGCGGCGGCGGTGATTGGCTGCTGCACGGCGTAGCCGTAGCCCCCCGCCGTGACGTAGCCGGCGGTGGCCGGCGAGGCCGCGTACGGGTACTGGTCGTAGGCAGCGGCGGCGGCGGCGGCGGCGGCGGCCGCCGAGTACTGGGCGTAGGCGGCGCCCGTGTAGTCGATGTAAGGGGTGGTGGAGGCGGCGGCGGCCGTGGGCTGCACGTGCGGGATGACCACGCCGGGCTGCACGAACGCCTGCGGGTACACGTAGTGGGCGGGGATCCTGCGGACAAACGGAACACCGAGTCAGGCGCCGCTGGCCCGCCCTGTCTGCAGCGCGGCTCGTTCAGAGATAAGACAGACTCAAATTTAGTGGTTATTACGAGCATAGGGTTGCCACAATATCTCCTCGCCAGGGGTCCGTCGGAGTGCTCTAGGCGGTAGCCGGATCACGGAGCGCCCCGAAAGGAATTCAGCGACAAAAGCAGTTGGGGGGGGGTGCGGGGGGGATGCCCCTCCCTGCTGGAAGTTGGATTTAGGATCGGTTAAGAGAACCAACGCTTATCGTTCAGCAGAAGTTTGGCAAGTAAATCAAGGTTCATGAGGGCTACGCACCGGAGAGGTAGCGAATACGTGCTTAATTGATTTTAAGACTTGGGAAAATTTTGCAATGAGTTCGTAAAACTGTGTAGCAAAGAGAAAAAAATTCTCAGCGGTGACTATAATAGGACTCCAAAGGTAATCCGTGATCGTTCAATTTTGGGGGGGGAGGGGAGGAGGGGGTTGGCCGATTTCCCAAAAGTAAAATAAATTTTTCCACAAAATCCGTATGTTTATTATCATGGCAACCCTACTTGAAATTGCTATGCAGACTCAGCACACATTAATCTCTCTGCAACCTCAGTCACCCTTATTAAAAATAATGATGATACAAGAAGCAGGCGACAAAATAAAAAAAGGAGTTTAAAAGTGTGGTAAACACAGCAGAATCACACTTCTCAAACGAACTGTAGTGCAGCTCAGTCTATCACAAGAGGCTGTTGTGGGAAGCTACAGAAATGCTATCAACATTCATGGCAGTGATTCCCAAAGAGATGTGCAGCACGCTTTTTGCCTTTCTTTCTTTCTTTCTCTCCATAAAATTCATAAGGACACAAGGGTCAACCAAACCTGTTTGACTATCAGGCACCTGAAGTTCAGCCAGCTTGTTTATCTCTATGCAAGACAGACAGAAGGGGTTTTGGGGAAATGATGAGGTTGAGGGAAAAGGAAGGAATAGGAATATTTCTAAAAATTCATATAAACTTAAAAGGTTTACATAACAAAATGAGTAAGGAAACATTTTTTTTTTTTTTTTTTGCACAAATAGGAACTCTTATCCTCCAAATCAACAAATAGATTAGCATGTTGGTGTTAAATCTGCCCTACTCATAAATATTCGATACATATCAATTGTGTTACCTATTATCCTGTAAAAGTTCAAGAAACAAGATCAAGTACCTTTAACAATTATACGTTCAGAGATCACATACAAGACACACTCCAATGACCTTTACTTAGGAAGTTAATTCTGTTAAAAAAATAAATCACAAGAGGTATTTTTAAGAAAACCCATGCATTTCAATTCTCACTCTTGCGATTCATTACTGCCCCTTTAAAATGCTACCATGAATATTTGACTTAGTTTCACCTTTCTTTAAAGCAATCTCCATCAGAACCCCCTATATTTCTAAAAATATGACACTATAATGCCATCTGGTTGTTGGCAAAGCCAATGTAACAGGAAGTACAAGCAACAAGTAGCAATCCTTTAAAGTATTTTAAAGAACTCAAGACTGAAAACTTCACATTTAGATTTCCAAAAACACAGATTTTTGCTTTGCCTTTTCAGAGTTTCACTGAAAGTCCTTATTAACGAACACCCATGGAAAAGATGAATTTATCATAGAGGGTAGTGAACTTTGACCCCAATGATAAAAATACACTCGATTTTACTAGACTTGTAGATCTTTCCAGTGCCAGGAGAAAACACGTCATCAAGTGTTTCTGAGGACACTTAGAGATGTTCTTAATTGCTTGTCAGAAACCAGACGCATGGTCATGCACATACTCCAAACTTTTCTCTAGGTCAGGTGACTGACTCACTCCCAGCGACAGGTGTGGCTTTATGAAACCCGGTCCCTGGAGGCCGCCGTGTCCACAATGTGCGGACACGGCAAAGAGAGCCTCCACTCGAGCCCGTTTACATGTGGTGATGGACAGCAGGGGCTGCAGCCGGGCTATTTTTGATCCTGTCATGCGACAAGGGTTTCCAGCGGGTAAAATGTCTTTATAAGGCCAAAGTAAAACATCTATCAGCAGCGAAGTCCAGCCAGTATGAATCTCACTGATAGGGAAACATTAACCCCTGTACTCCCACAGCTCTAAGGACAACAGGATGGTTACCAGGTTTGTATCTTTGAATGAATGCTGGTAACTGAAAATAAGTTTAGCCTATAAAAAGGCAGGATGAAGTGTGTGTGTGTGTGTGTGTGTGAGAGAGAGAGAGAGAGAGGGAGAGAGAAGAATGCACTAGAAGATAGGCAGGGCCGCTTACAGGACTCTTGTCTCTGCACTGATTTTATATTAATAGTTTTCATTTGATAATGCCAACCAATGAGAGTGTAGAGTTCCCTGGCATATCAGAGCCCTACATGAAGTCTGGCAAGGGTCAGGAATACGTCTGGAAGGCACATGAAATCCTAGCAGCGTTAGAGGCTCAGGGAAAGGAGAACCCAGAAGACCAAGGGGAGCCTAAAATACCTCCATTCAGGAAGGAAGGCAGGAAAGGACCAAAGGCTAAGGTGGTGCTTTGGAAGTCATTCTTGCATTAGGAGGTCTTTTACTAGTTTAAGGAGCCCATGAAGGCAATCTGAGACTCTGTCTCCCCTACCTACCAGTGTCCCTTCCCTCAGTTAATCACACAGTGGGCATACCCAGTGGTTACAAAAGCAGAGGCACAAGGCAGATACCCTGGGCAACTGTCGAAGAACACTGACTACATTTTCCTTCTCTTTTTCAGGTCCTCTGACATCTCTTTGTGACTTCTGACACCCTAACTGGTTTCCTCTTCCAGTCTATCACCAGACTGCTGGCAAAGTCTTCATCTCATTTACTTGTTCTTGTAACCTGTGGCCCCTTTGGCATGCTATGCCTTTTATGCTTCTGGCTCCAAAACATTCCTTCCAGTATTTCTTTCCACCTTTCCTCGAACCCGGGTCAGCTGGACTCCTCAGTGCTCCCTGGACAAGCCACACATTTCTAGATTCTCACTTTGCTCGTGCCGTCCCTTTGCCAGGGAAGCCAAACCTCATTCCATCTCTACCTGTTGAAATCCAATTCTTTTCCACCCTAGGTCTAGCACTCACTCTGTAGAGAGCCTTCAGGAATTTGCTTCACGTTCTGGTCTCACATTTCTCATATATGACCATGAATCCAATATTTCCAACCCTGAATTGCTATGCATTAAATAACATTATCTACGCACAGAGCCTACAGTGATGAATGAAGTAGGCACTCAATACAAGAGTACCTTATCCTCGACCATCCTTTAAAGATCTAGGTCAGCTTCTACCTCTTTCATGAAGACTTCTTGGGTCCCAAGAACCTGATGTCTCCCTCCTTGTCTGAAGCCACACCCTTCTGGGGGCTTCTCAGTTTTCTTACTAGATTACCAGGGAGAATGGAATTGTGTCTTTCTGGCTATAACGTTCTTGTTAAAAGAACGCGGCTTTTGAGGTCAGGAAAATCATGATTATGAACCTAGAACCAGACTCTATTACTTATTAGCCCTGTGGCAAGTTAATTAAGCTCTCTGCATCTGTTTTTTCACCCATGGAAAGAACATTCACAGGCTGACATGAACAGCTTGAGTCAAATAAGTATTGTGAGAATTACATGATTTATGTAAATTTCTTACTAGTACCAGGCATGTAGGAGATGGTCACTTAATGTTATTGCCCCTCCTGCCCCCGCCCCCCTTAGTGGATAGTATAGTATCTAGTACAGTGTTAATACAACTAGCGTAAAACTGAGCACTTAAGGGGCGCCTGGGTGGCTCAGTCGTTTAGGCTTCTGCCTTCAGCTCAGGTCGTGATCTCCGGGTCCTGGGATAGAGCCCCGCATCGGGCTCCACACTCAGTGGGGAGTCTGCTTCTCCCTCCCCTTTTGCCCCTCCCCACCCCTCGCTCTCTCTCTCTGTCTCAGATAAATAAATAAAATCTTCAAACCCTCCCCCCCAAAACCCTGAGCACTTAAAAATATACTCAATAAATGTTTAAGGGTATTTCAAACTGCTCTAAACCAACCTAGAATTTTCTACTCACAGATGCATAGTCTTTCCTCTCTAAGGTTTCAATAAGAAAATGCTTCGTGCAACCAGAAAGTATTTCTAAGACATTGTTTAGCAAATGGACGAGAATCTATACGTCTGCCCATTGTGTTACATCAGAAATTCCTTCAAGCCAAGATTTTCTCTGGAAAAGCCCGTTAAATGGCCCCTAAGGACCACATAAAAAAATAGTTCAGTTACTAGAACTTCAAACAAGTCAAGTAAGATTAAAAATTCTCAAGCTTTTTTCCAGGCCTAAAATAAAAACGTGCGGCATTCCAACAGAATTGAGGATGACCAGGTGTGATTTATTAGGTACAGACTCTGGGAATTAGAGCAGTGTTAAAGAACCCCTTCAAAAAAGAAAAGAGAAAGCCTGCAACGCTATCTATTTCTACTAAGAATCTCAAGTTCAAACAACTTATGCAAACAGTAATAATCACCATCCTTTATAAAGACAGCTTAATATTAGCAGGGATGAACAACAAAAGGTTACTATCAAAGCATACTTGATTTAAAATTTCCATAGGACATTTTATTCTGGTTATTCTTATTTTCCTTGTGCTACTTTCTTTCTCAAGGATCAATGCAGACTACCACAGCCAGTCCAAATTTCTATGTCCAGCTCTCAGTATCCTCCATAAACAGTCTGGTTTCTCCATGCACTAAAGCTTTTTCTCTTCTCTGCCTTTGCTTCTGCTCACCTCATCCTATAGCTCTCAGGCATGTCACTTGCTCCTGTTACCTGCCCAGGACATACCCACTGGTCCAAGACTAGTTCAAGTCCCATGAAGCCTTGTGCAACCTCTCCAATTCACCTGTTTTCTTGCTATTCTGAATACCTTTTGTCCTAAATACCAAGTATTTTAGCAATTAATAGTTCTTGATTGGTTTGTGTTAGTTTTGCAGTCTCCTTAGTTTGTATCACCTACTTAGCACAGAAGAACATAAACACATGCTAATACCTGTTGCTCGATTTAGCCGCATAACTGTTTCAAGACTATTATTGTGAGATCATGACTAAGTTTATCACCACTTCTTAGGATGTATGTTCTCCTCCCTAATCCCACCTTACACGTAGTCTAGACCAATGAGGAGAGGACCCACAGAAGTAGCTGGACCCATCAACCCACTATTTGTTGTCGGTACCCAGGACGGTTGGGATGGGGCACTGATAAATAGCTATGGAGATATGAAGGCCCTTTCTAATCATATTGGACAGGATACTCTCCCACGGTTTAAAAAAGTAAGAGCTGGCGGTAAGGTGAAGAATCCCTATGTTAAAGGGAGGGTTTTAAGAAGGTATTCATGGAAAACAACCTGGCCCTACCAAGTGCAATGATTATTACTTTTTCTGGTCTATTCTTGGAGACACACAAGGCTGATATCTATCCTATCTATCTATCTATCTATCTATCTATCATCTATCTAGAATCTGACCTTCAAGGTTACACAGGCAGATATTTAGGTGCTAAACTAGAGAAGAAATGATAGCTGAGGATAAAACCCTTCTTGAACAATTAGACTATTTAAAACAGAAGCTGAAATCTCTGTCACTAGAGTTCTAGCAATGTCAATCAGGTAGAATACAGCCCAAGCAGACTCTAAGTAGTCCGAGTAAATTTAGGTGGTAGGGATCGCCCACTTACAGTGTCTGAACAGAAGGGAAAGAAGGGCACTCAGAGGAGGAAAGCTGGTAATCACAGAGCCCAAAGGGAACACAAAGATGAGCAGCCTGTTCACCTGAGTTAGGTCTGAAAGGTGAAAGTTAGTGCCACTCGACTCAAAAAACTGGCTAGTGTCAGTGAAATCTGATGAGTGTTTGTTGAACCTTTAAATGAGAAGGCCTAAAAGTGGATACACATTGCAAAAGAAAGAACCCCATTCCCAGAAAACTCCCCAGTAAAACAGAAACTTAGGACATGCAAGCAATGAATCTGTATTCTCACAGAGGGAAATCACACAATTTAGCACTCACTACAAAAATATGGTTAAGTGGGAGTCACAGGCTACAGCTTAAAAGCAAGAAAAAAAAAAAAAAGGCCCTTTGCTTCCCATGGCAAAGTCAAAAGTCAACACTCCTCAACACCACCACCAAAACCAAAAACACAAAGAGCCCCTTCCCCGAGGAAAAGAAAACACTTTCACTACAGCTCTTTTCAATTAAGTAAAAAGCACACAGTTTAGCTATCAACACCACTTCATTACTGTAATAAATAAAATAAAGCACACGGAGGTCTATTGACTATTGTGAAAAATAAAACAACACCAACATCCATGCATCGTTAATCACCATCTGAGCTTGTGTGTCTGAGTCTACTGGTTACAGAGTTTAATTCCAAACAGAACTATTCCACCTCTTATCACCGTATCCTTCTGATCAGTTAGCTTAACTGTATACGAGCCCTGTCAGGTTAGAAAGAGATAAATAACATTGAGTCAAGTTGAACAGTAATCATGGTGCTGGGACACAATCGTCTCGTACACAAGTCATACCTGGTAGTTTTGTTTTGTTTTGTTTTGTTAATCATAAGCTCAAAATTTGTCTGGTTTGGAGGCTGCAAACTTGGTCAGTAACTTGACTCATCTAAAAATATTTATATTATCAGCATCAAAAAGGTACAAACATATATAAATATGTATCACAAGGAACATTCTGTGACATGATGATCTTGTCTGTATATAACAGAGGCAGGTTAACAGATGATACTTATCAAAACTTAGGAGGGCCTGATGAACTGACTTACCCAAAAGGTCTTTGTATGAGGGCTGGATGAAGTTGTTGAACACCGAAGGCAAAACCTAACAATAAAACATACCACATTCTCTATTTGTGCATGGTTAGGCATTTATGACTCCTACATATTAAAATCCAATCACAACGTTCACTTGGGGAAGATCACCATTTTTTTGATGCTTTACAGAAAATATTATATTATATATATTACAAATATATATATTTGAAAATTCTTTTTACTGATGTTATCATTATAGATATATATTATAAATATATACACATACATATTTAAAAGTTCTTTCTACTAATGTTATCATGGACCCAGGTAAAAATTTTAATAGGCTACAGGTGGAAACTAAAAATTATCTGCAAAGTTTGACAGTCATACAAGAAGACCTTAGAAAATTAGGCCAGGGAAAAATTCTTGTGGAATGAAACCAGGAACAACAGGACTTGATAATGAAGTTACATGTCACAAATATTCCTGCAATTCTGAATCATGATCTATAAAAAGTCTTTGTAATTTGGAACATGCCGGACAATGCTTTGGAAGATTATGGGTTTTACAGATTATGGTATTTAAAATTCACAAAAACAAAGTCTCCTTTTTTGGATAGCACACACACAAACACAAGTTTTTTTTAATGTTCACAGATATGGGCACATGCACTCACTTTCTTGACAATCTAGTTCCCTAGTAAATCCAGTTGGAGGGAAGTGTCAACCTCTTTCCAAAATTTCAGATGGAAACACTTGAGTGAAGAGTATAATGACTTAACAAAACAGAGTTGCTTACCCAAGAAAAAGATTACCATTTGCTCAACAGTCAACTCTTAATTATTGGTGCTAATGGCAGAGGCAGTGTTGTAAATAATCCAAAAGGTCAAATTTTCACATAGACAAAAGCCTGCTTCCCTTTTGACACCTAATAGCTTCATGACTTTGGAGTAAAACATTTTCCATCTCTAGGTGTCAGTTTATCTGTTACACGAGGGCCCAGGCGTACCTGAAATCTCCCCATTTTCTTTGATTACTAATAGTCTGTGATTTTATGTTAAAGCTTTACCATCCAGACACCACCCCCTGCCCCTAGGCTTCTCTTGGGTCAGTGTTCAAGTTGGATTGCCCGCTCTGAGCACAGGGCCACTGGTGGTAGAAGGAGAGACTGCAGTATGTAGGGAAGTATAACCAGCCGGAGGGGACACATTTGGCCCACAAAATCCACATGTGAATGATCTACAAGTGGCGAGAAACTGGAAAATAAAAGAGTAGACTGACTGTATGTCATACCTGAAACAGATGAGTCAAGCCTAAGTCTGGGTGGGTACAAACTGTCCAGACCCCCAAGATCTACTTTTGCACATAGGTACATTTCAAGTCCTGCAAGAGCCGGTGACAACGCTCATTTAATATCTTGATAGAATAACCAGCTGTGGTTCAACTTCACTAAACATATACAATGTCTTCTGAAACAGGGATTCATTCTATTCAGAAGCTGGGGGGGTCCTCAAGATGGGGGGGTGGAGTGGGTAGGAGGAACATTTCTCACCTGGTTGCATGATCCTTGGTTTTGCTCCCAAGTATGCCAGATTCACATTGGCCTTCCTGCCATCAATGATGGGGTTCGGATCCTTGCAGGCTCTCTCAGCAGCGGCTCGGTCAGCCATGGTGACCTTAGCAACATACACACACAGACATACATACAAAGCTCTAAATCAACCCCTGAAGGAAACCAAGAATCACACTGGAGAAGTCATTCATGAGAAAACTGAGGGGGTTCTTAAACTTTCTTTTCTTTTTTTTCTTTTCTTTCTTCTTTCTCTCTCTCTCTCTCTCCTTCCTTTTCCTTTCCTTTTTCTTTTCCTGGAACTTACTCCTTGATCCCCCGTCAAAAAAGAAAAAAAGAAAGAAAAAACAGAGAGGAAGAAAGAAACAACCCCCTCCCCACACCCCCAAAGTCTTCAGGGCGCTAGTAGGGCCTAGCAGGGAGTCGGAAGCCTGAATTCCGTCTTGGAACTCTAGATCCTCCTTCCCCCGACCGCCCCCCCAGGTCCCTACCCAACCTAACAGGCACTGTTTGCTTTAAAGAAAGTCCAGCCTCACATCCGCTCGGTGCTCCCAACCACCAGCAAGCACTCCCTAACGACCATAGCTATTGTCCTACTCTGGAGCTCCCGGCTCTCCAGCCGCTGAATTTGCACGCTTAAATCCCCAGGGGGCTTAATATGCTCCCCTTCAGTTCAGCAAAGAGCTAGAGGATCATCTTTTTAAAGAATCCATCTTTGCAATTTAAAAAAAAAGTGGGGGGGGGTGGCATAAGGAGTAGAGCCCTAGACCTCCTAGGGTGTCCCCTCCCCGCCCCAGCCAGAACGCCTGAAGACACGCATTTTTACAAAGCAACAGCGCGCTTAACCACCGGCTTCCAACCCCGGCGTGCGATTCCGAGGGGCTGCGGCCCCTCCCTCCCAGCCCCGCGCACCCGCAAATCCAGGCAGTGGTTAGTTCTCTCCTTCCACCCCCGCTCCGCCTGTTCCCCCGACACCTCAGGGCGCTGGGTCCCCTCGAAACCCCGTGAGGCAGCACAGCCCTCCCTCCCCCAGCTCCGCCGCGCGCAAACTTTCAGTTCAGCCGGGAGCAAAGGGGCAGCGCCGCCCGCGTCCGCGGGGTTCCTCACATTGTCACACCGAGCCCCCCACGGCAAACCCCGACCCCCCCCCCCGAAGCCCTGCGCCGCCCGGTGCCTCCCCGCCCCCGCGGTCCTCGATTTCCCCGCCGGGCCCTTTGTCGCCCCCACCCCGCCCTCTCCAACCCCAAGCCCACGCCAGCCCGCAGCCGCGCAACTTACAAATCCGTAGCCCCGGGACTTGCCCGTCTGCCGGTCGGTGATGACCACCGCCTCCTCGATCTCGCCGAACACCTCGAAGTACTTGCGCAGGCTGGCGTCGGTGGTGTGGTAGGGCAGCCCCCCGACGAAGATCTTGGTGTACGTCGTGTCCTTCTGGGTCGTGTGCATCTTCGCGCCCGCCCCGCGGCTCGGGCTCCGGCTGCGGCTGCGGCTGCGGCTCGGGCAGCGGCTGCGCCGCCTCCTCCGGCTCCGCGTCTCCCGCACCCTCTCGCGGCCGCCGGGGGCCAAGGGCGAGCCCGGGGGCGAGGGCGGCGGCGCGGCGGGGGCGAGAGGCCGGGGGCGGCCGAGGGCGCGGGGCGCGCGGCTTCCGAAGTCGCCAGCAGCCCCGGAGACTTGACTTCGCTCTCTCCTCCCGCCCCCCCTGCCGGTCACCGTACAAATTCTCCGGATCGTCTGGGTTAGGATCCTGTTCTATAGAATGTGCAAGCGGTTTCCACTCACCAAGCTGGGAGGCCAAAAATGAAAAAGAGGGTGGTCCTCGAGCGAAGGAGCGGGCGCGTTTAGAGGTAGATTTTTTTTTTCTTTCTTGGAAATTAGGTAGGTGTCTTGGGTGGGGCGTGGGTAGGGTCGGCGGTGAGCGCGTCCGGGCGCGGAGGTGAGCGGGCGGGCGGGCGGGGGGCGCGGCGGCGGGGCCGGGGGTGGGGGAACTCCGCGCCGCTCGGGCTCCGGTTCTGTCCCTCCCGCCGCGGAAGCTGGAAGACAAGTGACGAGGACGGCTCTCCACCTCTCTGCTCCCTTCCCCCGCGGGCCGGGGGTCGGCGCCCGGCTGGGGAGGGGGCGGGCCGGACGCCTGCGATTGGCCGCGGCCGCACCTGGGGTGCCCGGCGCCGCCGCCCCCCAGCTGTTGGGAACAGCTGCTTCTCTCCCGGCGCGGCGCTGGGCCGCGGGGCTCGGGCTTTGGAGCCGGGGCTGGGGTAGGGCTGGGGATGGCCCGAGGCGGCCTTGCTCTCGGCGGTCGCCTGCTTTAACCCGTCAAAGTCCTAGGGACTCGGCGCGGTCCTAGCCGGGGCTCGGGGAGCACAGACTGCGACCGAGGAGGGAGCTGCGTCGCTTTCCCAAAACGACAACGCGAGCTCTTTGCGCTCGGCCACCGTGACAGGGCCGGCGACCTGGACTGACGAGCTGGGGGCCGGGAGGCCTGGGGCGGTTCGTGGAAAGGCCAGTTCCCTCCCGGGCTCGCAGGAGCCGGCACGCTCGGCCAACGGTACCCGAGTCTGATAGTCTGGGGTCTGGAGAGTGAGAAGGAGGGTCCCCAACCTTCCTTGACCCTCAAAGAGCCAGTGCTGGGGAGAACCAGCGAGGCAGAGCCAGAAGGGAAGAACGGGGGAAAAAAAAAAAACAAAAAGCAAAAAACAAAACGCAACAACAAAAAACAGGTCTAGTGCTTGGGTGTGCTGGAGAAAACCATTAGCTTTAATTGCTCACGGTCCCAGCCAAGCTAAGGAACCGTAGACACCACCTTCTATTTCAGAGGACCATAAATTAGTACTTTAGCCCCTACAGTTACCAAATTTGTGTTTCCTCCCTAACTATTTGGGGAGATTGGTACAGATTTCTCATTATAAATCCTCTTTTTTCTTTTTCCCCCCGAAGCAAAGAATTGATCTATTTCCTTCCATTTGAATTGCAGGAATGTTTAGTGACTTGACCTCAACTGCTTTACTAGGATGCACTGTAATTGTAAAAGGTGTAAGTTTTTGAAATCGACTTGTTACATAACCACTGGTTTCTACCAGCAGACCTTTAAAGCATTTCTAGAAAATACAGACTTTAGTGCAACCCCTATATATTTATTTTTTAATATCAACTTTTTGCACCTTCTTTTTATCAAGAGTACATTCAATTAAGCATAAAATCCTTGTCATATTTGAGGTTTGGATGATGGTATTTAATGTGAGCAGAATGTTCCACCCACCCCTGTAGGAGGAGCATGATTTGCTTTTAAGTCATTTTCATCAGGAGGGTCTGTTGAGGTCCATACATTAATTGCCCCTGGGCTGAACCATTTAAAGCAGGTCAGTATGTTAACCTATTAGAGAAGCACATACTTGTGTTTCTCTTTCCAGGGCACATTTGCAGTTAGCCCAGAAGGATGAGATACATTGCATTTGCCAAGCGAACGAACGGGAATGCAAATATCCTCGAGCTTTTCACCTTGTTGCCTTCTGCCTGAAGTTGGCCTTTCGAGGTCATGAATTTCTTTAAGTTTGAACCCCCAGCGGGTGATGTGGAGAAATAAGAACTCCAAAGGTTTTTGGAAAATGTTTTAAAAATCCAATTCAAGGGGCACCTGGGTGGCTCAGTCAGTTGAGCGGCTGCCTTCGGCTCAGGTCATGGTCCCAGGGTCCTGGGATCGAGTCCCGCATCGGGCTCCCTGCTCCATGGGAAGCCTGCTTCTCCCTCTCCCACTCCCCCTGCTTGTGTTCCCTCTCTCGCTCTGTCTGTCTCTGTCAAATAAATAAATAAAATCTTAGAAAAAAAAATCCAACTGAAGAAAAACAAGGTACTTTACAGCCATATGAGAGCCAGAAAGGGAAATTGTAAATAGCACTCTCTCCTCATTGCTTAAGCAAAAGTACAAGTTTAAAAGAGACTCTGTGTACTGGTATGATGAAAGGTAGTTTTTAAAACTTAGAAAAACAAAGCAGCCTATGAAACAAAGGAGGCATGTTTTTTAAAATTCAACATCCATCTTGCTGGGTCACTGAAGAATTACTGTACTTAGATGAGGCTCAGGCAAAAACTCTTTTGTGAGGGAGAAGCTATTCCAGAGAAGCCTGAAGGACAAGAGTGACTTTGGCTCTCTCGCCTCTCTTCCTACCCAGATGAGGAGCCCACCCTGGAGGGGACTGTGATAATATCAGGGACGGAGGGTGTCTGGGAATGTGGCCAGCAGCTTGGATGTTCACTAAGTAAAGTGATGAGATCTACAAGGAAATTCTGATCCGAGGTTGGGATAGCTGTGTCCTAGAACTCGGCTTCTGGAAACAAGATGCTTCCCTGCCATAGTCCCAGAGAAAATAATGCAGCCACCCTCCCTGAGTCCCATGCAGCCCCTGACTGGTGTACTTTTATTCTTTCAATTGAGGGGTAAATATTTGATAGCTTGGTTTGAAACTTTGTTCATTCCATATGAAATGATGCTTGAATATTTCCGATTTTCCATTCCACGGATAAATTAAAACATTACTAATCATCTGGTGTTATGTGATTGATGGAGAACAAAGGTTAAGAGGAAAAGAGATTCCTTATTTCCCATGCTGATTTAAATAGAAGCCTTAATTCCTACCCAGTTCAGCCTGAGAAACCGCGGAGCGCCCCTGACAGGCGGGCACTGGGCTAGAGCGACGCATTATTGACACTGGGTTTTGTTTTCTATCTGCACAAAGGTGGGTTCAGTTACAAGGGCCAGAACCATTCCTGGTGGTTTTGTGAACCTGAGCCATCGGACCATGTAGGCTTGGGGCCGTAAAATCTTCCTGAATTCAAACTTTCAAGGTTATTAAGTACCAAATATTTCTGCATAATTACCCACTACAAAGTCAAGTTTGAAAAACAATACTTGAGTAATCCTTTTGCTTTCTCAGCTGCTTTTGGCAGCGAAGAACACTTGTATATTCACAGACCTTGTGCAATATGATGTGTACTTCTTTGGAAAGAAAGAGCCATAAAATACTTTAAAAGTTATAAATAGGTTCCAAGCTTGTCATATCCAAATTAGTACATATGGATGGCCCTGAATCCTCGGTTCCTACACCATGGAAAGATCGATAATATTTTATTACTTACAGTAAATTTTTGTCCACTCTGTTCAAACTCTTTATTTGGCTATTAAGGGAGACAACCAAATGGACAGGTTTTCCATTCTTTTATCTATTTTGTCCCCCATCCCCTTAAATTGATCATGGAGATCAACTCCAGGGCCAAGGCTTATGAAGAATTGTGAGAAAAGAGGGGACTATTTCACGAAGGTAGAGAAGCACTCCTCCAGCTCATGGAGATGTCTGCTCCAGGGACAGCGTTGCTTTGGATAGTAAGTCACCCGTGGGCAGGGTTGGCCCCTTGGATGTCACTGTATTTCCTGCAGGTCAGTGAGATCCTCCACAGAGTTCTACACATATATACACACAGAAGAAATATTTACTGAAGAGAATTGGTATGTTAAAGCTATCTACCTGCAAGCTTGATGGGGAAAAATACATTCTTTCCCTTTTTAAGATTTTGTTTATTTATTTGAGAGAGAGCGGGTGCACGTGAGCACAAGCAGGTGTGAAGGCGCAGAGGGAGAGGCAGACTCCTCGCTGAGCAGGGAGCCCGATGTGGGACTCGATCCCAGGACCCTGAGATCATGACCTGAGCCAAAGGCAGACGCTTAACTGACTGAGCCACCCAAGCATCCCCAAAACACATTCTGGATTAGAACTGACCACGTGCAAAGTAGTTAGGCCAGATTACTCTTTGTTTTGTTTCATTTTGTTTTGTTGTTTTGGAAAAACAAAAATATGGCTTCAATGAGATTTTTTGTTTTGGTTGGTTAGAAACGTTTATCTTCTTCTGAGAGTCTGTGTGAACATTCTGACGTAAAACCAACAGGTTTCCTGCCCTTTTGAGAAGTCCCACGATCAGCTGTATTTCTGTTTCTCTGGGTGGGTTGGTAATTTTCTCTTAGTAACAGATAACAAATGTGGTAATAGGTTATGCTGCTATTTTAGTGTGCAGAAGAATTGGCAGTCAGAAACCTAGTCAGTTCAGCTCACATCCACCTCTGGGCAAATTCTATTCATGCTGCATTAAGCCACATCTAAGCTGGTAAGTAAAGTGAAATGGAAATTTGTAACTGTTATCCACTCATTAAAGTCATAATGCTCCCTTTACATCAACATCCAGAAAATAGAAAGCAGAATAGGGTTCCTTGGAGAACAAGGGAAGGGCAAAAATCAAAGTAAGGGGGACAGAAAGAGCTCACTGCCAACTTCGCCCGACCAACAGTGGCCCTCTGCCCCCCAAAGTGGCATTAAGTGTAGGCACTCTTTAAAATCCTATTATAGAAGTCTGAAAGGCAAGGCAGAGAATGCAAACATTTTAAACCCGCTCGGTGCTTCTTCACATTTTAAATTCAGGGA